ACCAATCTATTTGGAAATTTGTGAGGGGAAATTGCAACTAGTAGTACAGTTTCTGAAAGCAGTATCAGCATAAGCCCCAGAATCTAACAAATGCAGAGTCCAGTACCCTATACCTTTTAAGCATTAATTTTACAATATAAAATACAATTTTAAAAACTTTACAATTAAAATAAAAACATGCAACATTAAACATACAGTTGAACTAATTCATAAAACCCCTGTGTACCCCATCACCATGACCATTGGATATATGTTGAGAACTCATTCAAAAATTAATTTAAGAAATATCCCCCTTCCAGAATTGCAGTGACTCTAGTGAAGGTTCAAATCCTTTCCCTTTTTTTAAACACATGTTCAATAAATTCACCCCAAATCTCATTAAAAATTCCCTTTTCTCACTTTAATATCACGTTAATTTATCGTTAATAGCTGTATTCCAGACTTCTCTATACCAATCACAAGACTGATAATCATATGTATCTTATGTAGCAACTACATAACTGCTTAGACCTTAAGATCATGGTCAGAGACCCTATTCTGGATACCCCCAACTAAAGAAATGAGGTGGGCAGCTGCTAAGGAGAGATGCTTTTCAGTGGTGGTACCATAGTTGTGGAATGCCCTCCCAAGAGAGGCTTCTTCGGCCTAAAATTGTATTCTTTTCAGGGCCAGGTAAAGACATTTATTCTCCCAGGCATTTTAGTCCTTCAGTCGTTCTTTCAAGGAAAGAAAGGAAAGTGCTTTTTTAATTTAAGAAATGTGCACTGATGCTGGCTTTTAATTTGCTTTCATTCCATTTTAACTTTAATGAAGTTTCATTACATTATTGTATTCCATTGTTTTATGTCTCGTTTTGTGAATCACCCACAGAGCTTCAGCTCGTGGGTGATAATAGAAATTTAGTAAACAAGCAAACAAATGCTTGGAAATTTTAAAAACATAGGGTTTTTTTCTGCTTCTTTTTTCCCCAACATGAACAACATTATGTACTTCTGCAAAATGACTTAGCACTGCCAAATTTAGCTGTGTTTGATTATATTTTATGTTTGACACTTTTGTGTCTAAATTTGGTGCCTTTGTAAAAACATCCAATTTCTGCCATATGGAAGTGTGAGGAATAGACAAGGAAGCTTGACTGAGGTCTCAGTAATTGATGCAACTCTGCTCAGAAAACTGATTTAGCGTTCTTTATTTGTATATTTCTCCTAGAAATAATGTCATTGAAAATTCTCTGAATCTTATTTCATGGGTGTCTGAGTGACCTGTACTGAACTTGGGAACTTGTCTGCTAAACCTCTGTCTGGGTCTTGCAGCTGATGAGCTTCCTAGCAATCAGATATTAATTTACAGCCCTATCAGCTTTAAGGGGATTTGGGCCAGGAAATGGGTAATAAGCAGGAAGAGCTTGAAGCTCTCCTGGGAATAGGAGGGTATGATCTGGTGGGAATCACAGAAACTTGGTGGGATGAAAGGCAAGTCTGGAATGTGAACACAGAAGGGTATCACCTTTTTAGAAAGGGCAGGAAGGGAAAGAGAGGTGGGGGTGTGGCTTTATACATCAGGGAAGGGATAGGATGCAGTGAGATAGAATGCAGCACAGATGGGGATTCGGTAGAGGCAGTCTGGGTGAAACTTAGGGGTTTTGACAGGGAAAGAGATCTGACAGTGGGGGTATGTTATCACCCTCCAGGTCAACTTGAGACCCTGGATGATGTCCTGACAGGCTGGATTCTAAGGATATCTCGGGGGAGAGACACAGTAGTTATGGGAGATTTCAATCTCCCGGATATTACTTGGGAGACTCACTGGGCGGTGACAGCCAGGTCACGTCGCTTCCTAGAAGCTATTGAGGGAGCGTTTTTCACACAGAGGGTCCTAGAGGCAACAAGGGGGGGAAACATCCTTTACTTGGTCTTGACCAATAGGGAGGAGATGATAGATGAAGTACAGATTAGGGGAGCTGTGGATGCGAGTGATCACTCCATCCTTTGCTTTGAGATCAGGGGACTGCGGACGGGCAGCAGGTCGAGCACTAGAAGCTGGGACTTCAAGAGGGCCAACTTTGGCCAACTGAAGGCCAGACTGGGGAAAGTCTCCTGGGATACGAGTTGAGGAAGGATGGATAGCACTCAAAAGGGAGGTTTTGGATGCGCAAGCCTTGACGATACCTCTAGTCAGTAAGGTGGGGAGGCAGAGGAGAGTGCTGCCATGGATGCGAAAGGAGGTGGTTAGAGGGATTAGACGAAAGAGGAACCTCCGTAGGAAATGGGTACTGGGGGAAATAGACAAAAGGGTATACCGGGAGGAGGAGGCCCGTTGCAGAAGGATTCTTCGCAAGGCTAAGGCTGATTACGAGCTGAGACGTGCCAAGAATATCAAGAGCAATAAAAAGGGCTTCTTTCAGCATGTAAATAGGAAGAGGAAGGGGAGACAAGTGGTGGGACCACTAAATAAGGAGGAAGGAGATCCAATGACTTATATGAGGGAACAGGCACAGATGCTAAATGACTATTTTGCCTCTGTGTTCTCCCAAAGCAGGACGGGGGATATCTGCATAGGAGATTAAATGAGGCTGGGGACTTAGGGGCACAGATTAGAGTCACCCCCCCTTGAAGTCGAGGGGCTCCTCAGGGCATTGGACATTACAAAGGCGCCAGGCCCTGACGGGTTACACCCGAGAGTACTTAGTGAGTTGGCAGGTGTTCTCTCACACCCGCTGGCCTCCATTTTTGAGACCTCGTGGAGAACGGGTGAAGTTCCAGAGGACTGGAGGGTGGCGTCAGTGGTCCCAATTTTCAAAAAGGGTAGTAGAAAGGACATGGGGAATTATAGACCTGTTAGCCTTACATCCATTGTAGGAAAAACAATGGAAAGGCTCATAATAGAGAGAGATCTAGTGATGCTAGATAGGGAAGGGAGGCTGACAGCCACACAACACAGCTTCCGCAAAAACAGGTCCTGCCAGACAAACCTTGTGGAATTCTATGACAAGGTTTCGAGATGGCTAGATGGGGGGGATGCAGTGGATGTGGTGTACCTGGATTTCAGCAAGGCCTTTGACAAAGTGCCCCATGATATCCTGGTGGAGAAATTGAAGAGTTTTGGGATACACCAAAGCACTGTCCGGTGGATTAGGGCATGGTTGACTGACCGAAAGCAGAAGGTAACCATTAGTGGGGAATCATCGGGATGGCGGCCATTGACAAGCAGGGTCCTCCAGGGCTCTGTCCTGGGGCCGATTCTGTTTAATCTTTTCATTAACGACATGGAAGAAGGGGTGAACAGTCTGCTGATCAAATTCACAGACGACACTAAAACTGGAGCAGTGGCCACAACTGAGGAGCAGATACTCCAGATCCAAAAGGATCTGGACAGACTATGGAAGTGGGCAGGAGACAATAGGATGGCGTTCAATGTGGATAAGTGCAAGGTCTTGCACTTGGGGCATAGGAATAGCTGTCATAAGTACAGGTTAGGTGATAAGTGGCTGGAGAGCAGCACTTGTGAAAGGGACCTCGGGGTACTGGTTGACTGCAGGCTAAACAAGAGTCAGCAGTGTGATGCGGTGGCCAAGAGGGCGAACGCCACCCTTGGTTGCATAGCCAGAAGTGTGGCTTCTAGATCAAGAGAGGTATTACTACCACTCTACACGACCCTAGTGCGCCCGCAACTGGAGTATTGTGTTCAGTTTTGGACCCCTCATTACAGAAAGGATATAGCCAGGTTGGAGTCAGTGCGGCGTAGGGCCGCAAGGTTAGTGGCCAGTTTGCAGGGGATGCCGTATGAGGCGAGACTGAGGGAACTGGGTCTCTTCAGCCTGGAGAAGAGGAGACTCAGAGGGGATATGTTGGCAACATACAGGTATGTGAGGGGATGTCACACGGAGATGGGTAGAGACCTGTTCTCCCCTGCAGAGAAAGGCAGGATGCGCTCCAACGGAGCAAAGCTCAGGGAACCAAGGTTCCATTTGGATGCCAGGAAGCACTTCCTGACAGTCAGGACCCCGAGGGTGTGGAATGGGCTTCCACGGGAGGGCATTGAGGCCCCATCGGTGAGGGTGTTCAAGGATAGACTGGACATGCACATGGTGGGCATGTCATGAGCGGAGCTGGCTGGTGCCAGAGGTCAGACTAGATGGCCGGGGAGACCCCTTCTGACTCGCTCTGTTTTCTACATTTCTAAGTGTAAAAAGAAGGACCATGGCCCAGAGAAAATAGTAACATGTAGGGTTCCAAGCCAGATTTGTTCAGATTTCATTTTCCATTTGTGACTCAACAGCACTTCAGAACTCTAAGCTCAAGAGATCACTTAAACGTCTTAGAGGGTCATTTTTCTGAGTGCAACAACCAACTAGCAGGTAGGCATTTATTGTATATCCTCTCCAAGGTGCTCATTTGACAGCCACCATTTTTGTGTCCCCTGACTAGAATTGAAAGGCCTTTGCTATGGCATCAATAAGTGGTACTCATGAATGGTCCTGACCGTAACATTTGGACAAAAGATAAGACTTCTGCAAGTATAGGGTTATTATTAATTAGTAATAGAATCTGAATTAATAATGCAAGAAGGTAATGCAAATAGCCAAGGAGCTGCAAGTTACAACATTAAGATGAAAGACAGCACTTAACAAAACCCCTCTTCCCATTTTGGGATACTCATTCAGTTTTCCCCAGATGTCTTTAAGTGGATAAATTATTTACCATATTAAGCCGCAAAGTAGTATTAACTGATTTAAACCATCAGAAATAATGGAGTAAAGATTGAAACAATTTATAGCCCATACCTGTGTATGTTGTCTCAAAATGAGCATCCTCCCAGGTAACTTTGCATCAGATTGCAGTCTTTTTAGGAAATGTACTTTATCAGACAGCATAGGATTAGAGCAGACCCATCCTTGACTTGGTTGCTCCTTGTTAATCTCAACAGTGGGCTCCAGATGTTCCAACTCTTGCAAATGTGTGCAGTCCTCTGGCCAATTTCTGTGTGCTTTCCTTTTTCAGCAGATATGGCACAGGGACATCTGCACCTGAGTCAACTGAATAGGGACATCCGAGCGCAGCCCACTTCTGTTTCGCCTTCAGAAGGCCTGTCTCCAACAGCTGTACGTTACCGAAATGGCAACCAGCGCCGTTTCTCGATGGAGGTAAAGTGTGAGGGGACCTGTATCCTCAAGGGCAGCTGGAGATGCTGGGAATTGCAGCCCAGGACAATTGGACAGTTCCAATTTGGGGAATGTTGCTAGATGGAATGATAGAAACAATGGTATGGAGCTCTGGAAGACTAACATTTTAAATGCATCATTATGTTCACAGTTTAAATATCAGGCCCAATAAGGAAGCTGGCTTCAAGAATGATGATTGTTGTTGAGGAAGAACTATAAGAAACATCTTTAAATATATGCAGAATAGCACGGTTTCTCCATGGAGAACCATCTACTGTTTTCTATACATTCATGGGTAATGACTGTGGGCCGCCTAGAGATGCCATGGCACGATAGGTGGCATATAAATGTAGCAACAACAACAACAAGGGAATGGCTTCTCTGTGTGAGGGCCACGAGCACTGCTTCCAACAAAAATGAGCCGCAGCTCTGACAGAGAAAATAAGCCATACCTCATGGTACAAGTGCTTGAATCCATGCGTTTATGAGATTACATACTTATCCTTTAGGCCCAATTCAGACCAGTTTCCCCTTCTTCCACCTTATTGCCAATTTGAGTTGAACTGAACATTGGTTTGGAGATTCAAGTCAATTAAAGCAGAGTGAGACAGTTGTCTTTAATTGTATGAGTTCTTTCTCTGCTTTGATTCCTGCCCTTCAGTCTAAAATGCAAGAACCACACTGGGTCCTTGCTTGCAGCAAAATGAACAAGACGGGACATGCACTGAGACATGTGGCATTGGATCTGTGCCTGAGGCTTAGGAGTAAGGGTGGCCAGATGCACAAGACAGTGGGGCTCCTGCACCCTTAATGACTGTATAGAAGAAAGCATTTCAGCAGATGTGACTGATTTGGCAAGCTACACCTGCAAAAATAACCACTTCGGTGCAAGTATTGAATGTGCAGGAGCCCAGTCAGACCTTTTTTGCCCCTGGCCACCATGGTTAGGAGGCCTCATGGACTAACTTTGTGTTGCTCTTCTTCATAGGACGTCAGCAAACGCCTCTCTCTGCCCATGGATATTCAGCTGCCTCCAGAGTTCCTCCAGAAACTTGAGATGGAAAGTCCAGAGATTTCGAGGCCTCTTAGCAGGATGTCTCGACGGGCTTCTCTTGTGAGTCCCAGGGGCTTCAGAAAACACAGCTCTGTGTAGCCCTTGCAGCCATGCATTTTTGCATACAACTGTCTGAAAATCCCCAAGTGAAAATGACCTGAAGCAGGGGAGAACCTCCTACAGTATTTAAAACTACATTGGAAATGTTGTCTATTAAACTATTCCAGTGTAGTCCAGAAAGTCACTTTTTAATTACAAGAGTTGGAGTTAGGAAACTTAGAATTCTAAGAGAGAAAGGAGAATGAAACATTATATCAAAGGGTTTCACATGTACCTGTGCAACTTATTCTGTCTCCTGAATAAAATATTCACAGTTGAAGCAGCTGTCCTATAAATATTTAAGAGCTCATAAATTATCAATATATATTATTTTTCAACTCACAGAAGTAGCACTGCTACTTTTGTGGGACATCCGGTTTGCGTTTTTGTAAGCCTTATTACCATTTTCACAAAAATGGAAGAATTCTCACTTCAAAGTGTGGAAAATGGATGTTTCATCATCCTGCTATGGTTATGGCTGTGCAGTCTGTCCCTTGCTGCTGGGTTTTGCTTATGGTTGACCATGCAGCTCCAGTGCAGTTATGTGGTCATTAACACTCTTGGTATAAGCACAGTAATGAGTTGTCTCTCAGCTTAGAGGCCTTTAAACTGAAACTAGGTTCTTGAAAGTCCTTCACCTGTAGTTTCTTTCTAAGCTGAGGGGAGAAAGGCCCATTTGCCTTCTATGTAGAGTTCAGGCATCATTTCTGATGTATGAAAAGCACACGGCACCCCAGGGATAAGTATTACCAGGAAATAAGATAATAGACCCGCTTCCAGATGAGGCTTTTATCAGGCCATCATGCATGGGTTTTTATTGTAATATGAGGGGATGTCAGGATGACATCATCTTCTATTTGTTAGCCTTGTGTGTTTTCCCATTTTTTCTTACCACAAAAAAATCCATTAAGGATGGGAGAACAAAACAACTACCTTTTGAATGGTAGCACTAGGAGCTGTCCATCTCAGAGTACCATTGGACTGGTGTTTGAAGTTGAATTCTGTGGGTCTTGCTTCCAGGTAAAACATGTTTGGGAAGTGCTAAACTACATGTTTTGCTAAGCACACTTTAAATAGTGTAATTGATTGCTCTGTTTCTTCCTCCCAATCTTCCACAACTTGGTATACTCTAGATGTGTTGGACTGCAACTCTCATCAGTCCCGTCATTGTAGTCCAAATCTGCAGGTCACCTGGTCAGACAAGGATATTTTAGCAAAAGCAGCTCTGGTCCCTGCCTCCCATCCACCTAGAGCTTCTTTGTGTTTTGGTTGTAAAGGGATTGTGTATTAAATGCTGTGGCCTCAAGTTTGCTTAGCTTTCTCCATCTCCATGCGCAATATATATATGAGCTTGACCTGCTATCTCAAGCTGAAAATGTAGCTTCTGAATTGCTTCAGCTCATTTCAATATGTACCTCTGCCAGTCTGCCACAAAGATGAAATAACGTGCCCTATTTCTTATTCCTTTTCAGTTCCAACCAGTCAGAATTCTCCTCTATTGAGCTGAAGATGAAGTATTTTATAAATTCTTTTGCTACTTTTCTATGAAGGTATCTGGCTCTTTGCCACCACCTAGTGTTGAATAATATTAAATATGCTTCAACACACAATGTATGACCTAAGCAACGTGATTACTTGCAGTGAAGTCTTCTTAGTGCCATACAAGGATTGATCCTGTGACTCACTCACATTTGCAAATGCTATGTGATAACGTCATATGTATGTTTGCTGTGCACAGGGATCAGGTTTATAAAGTTTTTAAAAGGGCTGGCAGGAAAAGTATTTAAAATAGGTATTTGTTAGCATCCTCATATTCAATGGGAAACATTTGTCTGTTTGTCTAGGGCAGTGGTGGCAAACCTATGGCACGCATGGCACAGCAGGCACGCAGAGCCCTCTCTGTCGGCATGTGAGCCAAATTGCCCAGCAGCCAAGCATCAGATAACAGCATACATAGGGGCCATGCGCATGCTCAGAAAGAAGTAGTTTTTAGTTTTTTCTAAACTAAATCCTCAGTTTTCAGGTTTTATTGCAGTGTTGGCACTTGGTCTCTAAAAGATTGCAGTGTATTGCAGTGTTGGGTTGCAGTTTGGGCACTTGGTCTCTAAAAGATTCACCATCACTGGGTTATAGTTAGAAAAACGAGGTGTCCTTGCATGATTTTGATGGTTGGAATGTGTTTAGAAAGGGCAGAAATGTTGAGCTGTGCAGAAAAAGCTACTCAAGGAAAGCTTTTTCAAAATCGCATTATTTTCAATGGAACTTTAGGCCTGTATTAGGGTTAGGGGTGTGCACCAGGGTAGGGTTAGGGTTTGAAAAATGAGGTGTCATGGCATGGTTTTGATGGTTGGAATGTGTTTAGGATGGGCAGAAATGATGAGCTGTGCAGAAAAAGCTATTCAAGGAAGGTGTTTTCAAAATCGCCCCTTTCAATAGTATTTTGCCCCTAGGTTAGGGTTAGGGGTGTGCACCAGGGTAGGGTTAGGGTTAGAAAAACAAGGTGTCCTGTCATGATTTTATGTTTGGCATGTGTTTAGAATGGGCAGAAATGTTGAGCTGTGCAGAAAAAGCTACTCATGGAAGGCTTTTTCAAAACCGCCCTATTTTCAATGGTATTTAACCCTATATTAGGGTTAGGGGTGTGCACCAGGGTAGGGTTAGGCCAGTGGTGGTGAACGCATGGCACGCATGCCACAGCGGGCACGCAGAGCCCTCTCTGTCGGCACGCGAGCCAAGTCGCCCTAGCATTGGCCCAGCAGTCAAGCATTGGATAACAGTGCACTTAGGGTCCATGCCCATGCTCGAAAGGGAGTAGTGGCACCAGTTGTTGATGTAACGAGCTGCAACTCATTAGCCGGGACTCATCCAAGCTTTCGCATGGCCGGTCAGTGCACTGCCAAGGATTTATATATACATTTGCTTAGACTGGCTGTGAGGTGTTTTTTCTAAACTAAAACCTCAGTTTTCAGCTTTTATTGTAGTGTTGGCACTTTGCGATAAATAAGTGGGTTTGGGGTTGCAGTTTGGGAACTTGGTCTCTAAAAGGTTTGCCATCACTGGTCTAGGGGTTATACAAGCCATTGATGGAAGAGGCACAAGATTAACCCGATCACCTTGAGTCATGGGTCAGCTCTGGGGTCCAAAGGCATTATCCAAGCATAGGGAGGAGCCATCTAGGAAGCCAGCAGTGTTTCAGCTGAACAGATCAGAAATAAGAACAATTGGAGGTGTTAGTTTCTGCAACACACCCCAAGTGAAGGCAGCAAGTTGATTTAAAATGTTATATCTTAGCATTATGGGGAGAGTAGCAAGAATCCTTCATTTTCTTCAATCACACAAATGGGGTTTGACTCCCAATGACTTCATTTTTGCAGAAAGCCAATGACTCAGTACATTTACCTATGAGTTTCAAGGAGCTGTCTTGATTTTATTTCCCAGCATATTTTTTCAAGCAAATTTGTCCTCCTACAGATCATCAGTAAACCTGCAATCCTGTACATATTTACCTGGAAGTAAGTCCCACTAAGCCTAGTAGGCTGGCTTGCTGAGGATTGCAGTGTGAGATTCCTAAGAAAGAAAATGTGGTCCTTTGTACTGATGTTTCTTGCTTTTTCATGACAGTCAGACATCGGGTTTGGGAAGATGGAAACCTATGTTAAATTAGAGAAACTTGGAGAGGTAAGAATGTGAAATATTATCGTCCTATATCCCTAAAACTTCATAAATGTATATTGTATCTTTGTGCTTGGGGCTGGGGGCCAGCTTGCTATGTATGGACCAAGCCCTTTTAGGTCTTTAACAGATTTAAAACATGTATCCTGGATTGTGAATTTAACTTTAAAGAAAAGCAAATTTAAATTGTGAATTGAATTTTGTACACAAGTAGGCCACTTGACTCTGTTCAATGACAGAGAGCACAGACACTGGGAGTGTGCTTCCCAAATTTAATGCACTATTTATATTGAAGTGGACTCTAACAAAGAGTGCAGTCTTAAATTGGATCAAGCCCTTCTGCAGATGTTGTTTGGAAGAAGACTTCAGTCAAGTTTTTAAAATTCCAGTTCAGAATGGTTATACAGAGATTTAACCCAGTGCAACAAACTCCTCAGAACTTTTAAAAAATATGATATGGTAGTAATGAGTGGAATGTGTTGCATATTTTCCTTCTTTCCCTTCTTTTTCACAGGGTACTTATGCCACAGTATTTAAAGGGCGCAGCAAGCTCACCAAGAACCTGGTTGCCTTGAAGGAGATCCGGTTAGAACACGAAGAAGGGGCCCCCTGCACAGCTATACGAGAAGGTAGAGTATGGATGGGAGGTAACCAAAACCTAGGGAAATATCGGGCATTTTTATTTGCATACATCCTTGTATTTTTCCTGCCTTATTCAAAAGCATGCATAGGTTATTCTGTGATTCCTAATATGAACATTACTGTTTAGTACTCAAATGTTTAGTACTCACAGAGGTGGAGAGCTATCAAAGCAATCAAGCAACAGTAAGTATGAGAATAAATGATACTAAAAACTACTGGGCAGCAGGATAGTCAGTTAATCAGCAGCATCCTCTCTCTGTTTCTCTGCGCCAACAATAGAGGCAGGCTTTCCACTCCTGTTCCTGAGCAAAATTTTGGATGATGGAGAGGGACATCTGATAGCCACTGCAACTCCCACCCCCAACTTGCCATGGTGCCATCCCAAATACCCAAGCAAATACAGGCCCACCCTCCCTCATCCACAGTCAAATCTTTAATGAGCACAGTTTTGTTTCAAGCTGACCTATCTTTTAACAAACCAGAGAGTTCCTCAGCAGATGCGTAACTGGTTATACCAAGGTTGGAGATAGATCCCGTGTTGGGAACAGAAGTCAAGCATCTATGACTCCGTACCTGGAGTGTGCATGTCTAACCCCCATAACTATGTCGCCTGTTGTCCACAATCACAGAATTAGATGAAGTACCTCCCTGCTTCCCATCTCCTTATTAGGCACATCCTGCTATGCACACATGTGCGCACGCATGCACCCACTCACCCAGTCACACCTCATTGTGACTCACTCCAAGTACACAGCCCTTTCATTCAAAAATCTGGCATATGCATCCCAGCCAGGCCGCTCATTCATAGGACATTATGTTCAGCAAAGGCTCAGCTTTTCAGCATACAGTACAGACACCTCCAGATCCTTGTGGCTGATGCTGCTCTCCCTTTATCTTGCAGTTTCCTTACTGAAGAACCTCAAGCATGCTAACATTGTGACCCTTCATGATATTATCCATACAAAATGCTCCCTCACTCTTGTCTTTGAGTATCTGGTAAGTTTATGGATTTGCTTGGGGGTTTCTTTCTTATGGAGATACTGGCTTGACCAGCAACTCCAGACTTAGTTTTGTGTCAGTGAGGAGTTTGAACTTTTCTACCCTTAGCTGATCAGCAGTATCCGTGCAGAAAATGACATTTCTGTAAAACGCAAACATGGTGTTGACTCATGACAATTACCCATGTAAATGAAATAAATGTAAATACAAATGAAATAAATAATATTCCAGATGTTGTTCCAGGTAATATTTCAATACAATATGCTTAGCATATTTATTTAAAAGTAATTTCCATTTTGTTTTTTTGGACTTACTCCCAGGAAGTATGGCTGTATTTGCCTCTAAATAGCAATGGAAATTCGCATTTTCACAGAATGTAACAAAATGTTGTTTGAATAGTGAGAAAATATGGATTCTCTGCTAGTTAAAAATATCTTGTTTGCCTCTGTAACAGATAGATTAGGTAGGAGGGTGGCTTTGGAGCTCCTGCAACAACTTAGCACTTCTCTACCTGAGACATTTATTGTGTGTTCATGATCCCTCACTTGTGGAAGTTTGCAGGTCCTTTTCATGATGTTGTCATTCTCTAAGACCAATCCAGTATTTCCTGTATTTCTGTGGATCTTTTTAGAGTAAGGAAAATCTGTTCTTTTACAGGATGCTGCCAGTACACACTCAAGAAGCCTTCTGTAATTTTGTAATTCTGCTCTATGCCAGAGAGCCACCTAAGCCTTATTAAAGCACTGGGTTTCAAGTGCAGAGGACCTCAGGCATTACTGTGCCTTCCCTACATAATAAAACAAACCTCTAGAAAGGCTTCATAGCTTTGAGCTGGATATTGCTCTGAGCTTCAGGAAGCACACACTGTTGATTGCAAGTGCACGTCGTGTGTCTGCAGTCTGGGAAATATACCTTGGCTTGAATTTGCTGCTGCCAGAAAAGTGGTGGGTACATTGTTTTTCCAGACAATTTAGAGCCCTTTGGACAATGCTTATCATTGCAGGATAGTGACCTGAAGCAGTACCTGGATAACTGTGGGAACCTGATGAGCATGTACAATGTAAAGGTGAGTGAATAGAGTAGAGTGGATGGGGGCAGGGCATGGCTTTCTCTGTAAAGTAACATCATGTCTTCTCCTGAAAGATGATTTATCATCTTAGAGGAACCTACTCTGTATTTTCAAAGGGATTTTTAAAATAAATCTATTTTTCCATGTTTTCATAAGAATCCTGCCTTTTAAGCATTTCTAACTTCTCACTTTCTCCTCCCTGCCACCGCTGCTGCTACCTTCTTTCCCTGCTACAAGATCTTCATGTTCCAACTGCTACGTGGTTTGTCCTACTGCCACCGGCTTAAGATCCTGCACAGAGACCTCAAACCACAGAATCTGCTCATTAATGGGAAAGGGGAACTGAAACTTGCTGACTTTGGTAAGTTACAGGGTGAGGCAGGCACTGTGGCTTTGGCTGGGTTCAGAGCAGAAAGGTTCCATACCAGTGTTCTGGTCCTTTCTTGTTTACAAATGAGAAAATTGTAAGCAAAATGCTCTGGAGGACATCCACCACTGCCATCCCTGGCTGGCCCTTCAGATATCCACATCTTCATTCATGCTTCTCATTTAAAGTCCATAAATCTGAAGAAGCTGATTTTAACCTTTGAGACCAGACTGCTTACCAAACACAGAATTTCCTTCCACACAGCTTTTACTCTTTTACACCGATGCTGAGACCATGAGAAATATTTTTCCCCCACAAGGATTTTTAGGCTGTTTAGCTTGGAATAAGCCCCATTTACTGCAACAAGGCTGACTTTCAAGTAGACATGTCAAATATTGCACTGCTAGGGCACCATCCAATGTGGTTAGCCAAAAACATCCAAACTCAGAGGTTTACAGGCATCCAGTAGAAGGCTGAAAGATCACACAGGCAAGCACTCTTCCCACCCTCCACAACTTTTACATTTTGACCATCTAAGTGTTTTACTCTGGCTCACAAGGAGAGGAGCCAGAGGCATTACCAGGCCCCCTCTTGGGATGGTGGTGCCTTTTATCTCACCTTCTTGACTCGCAGACTGCCCTCCCTCCACACTGGCTGTGAGGTTGCACTTGTGGTTTTGGGGCTGCAGCTGGTGAAGAAAACCACACCACCTACAAGAATGGAGGGAGGTGCATTCTGAGGTCAGAGCCCCATATCAGACCTCAAAACTCATTTCTAAGATCAGAGTTGAACTCCAGGCTGTCCTGTGGCCATCTAGATAGTATCTACCATTCATAGTGACTTCCTTTCTCGAGTATTCTGATCCTGCACAGTTTGCACCTGTGTGTCTACCAGCAGTCCTACCAGAACATATGACCAACATCAGCCAAGTGCCATTGCTTACCATGTTCTGCAAAGAGGTTTTTAATTTTCCCAAACCCAGGGAACCATTTCCATCCTACCTCTTATTTACAAATACAGTGCAGCACACAACACACGCAACCAGCCACACAATTGTTTTTTCTAAGCTTTGGATGTCAAAATGTAACCCCTTGCACCACGAGCCTCCCATAATCTGCAGCTGGCACTGCCACTGTCCTGTCTTTTGTATCAGACCATTTTTACGTGACTCTTAATATCTTACCTGCATTCGTTTGGTTACCCAGCAAGTCATGATCAAACCGGAAGGCTTACTTACAACTGTGACTGGCTCCACAATCCTAAATATTTTGGCATGGGATGTTAGGTGTTGCAGAGCCAGTGCATTAGTAGTGTTTAAGGGCGCAGGGGTGGCACTTAGAAGAGCTGGGTTCTAGTCCCGGCTTAGCCATGGAGCCAAATGAGTGACACTGGGCCACCCACAAACTCTCAGCCCAGCCTACCCCACAGAGCTTTCGTTGTGGGGATAAGATTGAGAACAGGAGAAGCAGAATAGTGTAACTGCTTTGAGTTTGTTATAAGGAAAAAGCAGGATATAAATCTAATAAATAGGATGTCAAATTAAGTTGGAGCTTTTTGGAAAATGGATGATGATCCCAGTTTGCCTGATGCTGACCTTAACTTGGGTACAATTGGTAGTAGCAAACCTCAGGTTTGTATCTCACTGTCATTGCTTGCTCTTCCAGGACTAGCCAGAGCCAAGTCTGTCCCAACAAAAACCTATTCCAATGAAGTAGTCACATTGTGGTACAGGCCTCCAGATGTCCTGCTAGGATCCACAGAATACTCCACTCCCATCGACATGTGGTGAGCCAAGATCTTGCTTGTGCTTGGTGGGCAGGTACAATGTTTTACCCCAGTAACCTTTTTCTTCTAGAAAATAACAGAGGTCCATCCCATGAAGTGAAAATGGCATAGCCCTCAAAGTTGCGTGGCCTAGAGAGGACAGAAGAGAGCACCTCATAGCTTGTTCTTCCTCTTTCCTTTGCTGATCAGTTCAGAAGGAAGATAAATGAGGGCAGGGTGCTCTTTCTGCTTCCACATTGTGTTCTACTATCACAGTCCAGGTACCAGGAATCATGGAGGCCATTCCCCTCTCTCTGCAGAGGTTGAAGCAATGAGAGAAAGACTGGTAGGTTAGAAGACCATGCAGGGCCTGATTGCTTCTCCTGATTGTATCTCTTCTGGGTCCATTGTGCTTCACGAGCATGTCTCCTTTTAGGGGTGTGGGCTGCATACACTACGAAATGGTCACAGGACGCCCCATGTTCCCAGGATCTACTGTAAAAGAGGAGCTGCACTTAATATTCAGGATGTTAGGTGAGTCCTCCCCATTCTGTTTGTTGGGTTGGGTTGAGATGCAGGAAAGCTATGCAAAGAGTCCAGAATGCATGCTAGTCAGATTAGACAGCACTGTTCTAAGTAACCCATGTGCTTTGACCCTTAGTGATAGAAGGTGAATTTCTGTGTATTTAGCTATGGATGAGATTTTCAGGATTCTAAATTCCATTCCAAATACTAGATTCCATCTGTGATCCACCCTGTAAGCATATTGTAAATGCACTTAGCCTCTGTTGTCACACCTAAACCTTGCTTCTTTCCTTAGGAACCCCTACAGAAGAAACCTGGCCTGGCATCACAGCCAATGAGGAATTCAAGGCTTACAATTTCACACAGTATCAAGCCCAGCCCCTGATAAACCATGTGCCCAGGTAAGTTAATCATCCTGCAAGGGAGGACAAACTGCCTTTTTATGGGTTCCTTCTGTTGCTGGAGAAGGAAGGGAGAAAAGCACTGGTCTTTCTGGCAGTGCTGGCTGGGAATGACAGGACATGTAGTCCAACATATCTACAGAAATAGAAACAGGGAACCAATGATTAAAGGTTCAATGTCAATCTGATGAATGGTATGTCAATAATCAGCTTTGACATCAACACATGCACAAAATTCTTCCCAATGTGCACCATCTCCATCCCTCTATTTCCAGTTGAATAGGGAGGCCTGTAAAAATTTTTCCCTTCTTTATACTGGTCTTTCTGAGGTTGCCACTAGATGGCATCAGTGTTGTGTATCTCAGTCCACCAGAGGAAAACAGAGAGTGCTTGACCCTATTCTCTCTGCTCTGCTCCAAGAAACAACTCAGGTTGCCAGTGGTAAAATCGGAATGTACAGATTGTGTTGAACCTGTTCGTTCTGCATTTTTCATAGAATCAGGTGTCTTTTGCTTCATTGCCTGCTTATTGTTGGAATTGTATTTTTTTAGAAATGTACAAGAATTTCATTCACTTGGGTAGCTACATACTTGTGCAAGAGCACATTAGCACAAGTGTCTGTTTGTGAAGATCTCACCAGGACGCTGAATACTGGCCCTCAAGTCTGTGTAATCTTCACAACTGAGCAAAAAAACTGGTCCAATCTGTTGCAGAACCTTCTGGTTAGATTCACAGAAATCCAAACTCATTTGTGAAATCCTCCAACATTACTTCTGTGAACAAATATTTTCTAAAGGATGTGTGGCTTTACTTTGGAGTTGGGGCAGGTCTCACATAGCAGGTTTCTTTCTTCTCTTGCAGACTGGACACAGAAGGAATCGACCTGTTGACAAATCTTCTCCTGGTAGGTGTCCCTGATTAATAATATGGATATCAAAGATACCATAGTTCATCCCCCAGTGACTTCATTGTTGATATCCCCCCATTCCAAAGGGTTAGTGCCAACAATAGTACTTCTGGCTTTAAAAAGAGGCCCCAGGAACACAAGGCATTCCAGAAAAAGCTGCAAATAATATCCAAGGAGATCCATCCTGATGGCACTCAGTTACTTTAGTGGACATCACTTCTACTGCATCTCATGACTCTTGACGCTTCTGCATCGACTTCTTGGTACTGGCATTTGTTCAGATGTAAAAGACCCTGTTAGAATGTGGGGATATGGAACTGTTGGTGCTTCAGTGCACCTCAGCTGCCAGCTAACATGGTGACATGGGGTGGTGAGAGTTGCAGTCCGAGACATCTGATGGGCTGGAGGTTCTTCAGCCCTGCTGTATGGGAATGGATCGGAACTTATTTCAAAGAAAAAAGAAAAAATGTATTTTAAGTCTCCTTTCCTTCTAAGTGGTCCAGTAGTTCAGAGTGCCATAAAGCAGAGTTGAGCAGACTTTAGATTTGCAGAATCTTCTCTTTTTTTCCCACTAGATTCTTGAAGTTCACCAGCTGGAGCTAAGCACAAAATAGCAACTTGAGAAGGCAGACATAGAATTGCAGAATATGCTCAGATCAGGCTCTTCCAGCATTGGAATTTGTGCAGACATCTTTCCACACCCCAGTTTACTCCTACTTTTATCAAGCTTTCTTGATTTTAGCCACCTAATTTAGAGGGGAAATAAGGTTCTCTGTTGTCACTATTGTCAAAACCACTGAGATTTAGAAACGCTTACTGATCTGTGCAAATATCTAGGAGATATGGAAGATTTCAATCTACCTTCTACCTTCATGTGCCACAGAGACTTGAGTGGAGTAGAACATCAAAGCATAGATCTCAGATTTGCTCATTTAATTGTTTTGCCATAAACAACAACATGTTTGTATTTAAAATAGTCTTATGCCGCTTTTCATGGCAGCTCGATTTGGTTTTACATTAGCAGAAATAACATCAAAAACACAAATATAAATAACGGGGAATGATAAGAGATGAGCAGCAGCCATTAAAAAAAACTAACAAAATAGAGCATTGTGGATCAAATAGCCAAAGCCTGAAATAAACATAACATGGCTGTTTCATTCATTCTGTGAATCTTCATTGGCCATTGACGTAGCTTCTTCGATATCGCTGTGGTTACAGTACCCTGCAGGTCAAATCCTTATTTATTTATTTATTTATTTATTTATTTATTTATTATTTCTTGTATATTATCATTGTTGTTATATTGTTGTTGTTACATTGTGTTTTTCTTCTGCCTTTTTTATTCTTCTGAGGGATCTAAGGCAGCTTACCCAGCTCCATTTTATCCTCACAAGAAAAGCCTGTGAGATAGGTTAGGCTGAGAGTCTGTGACTGGCCCAAAGTCACCCACTGAGATTCATGGCTGTTTGCAGGCTAGAACCCAAAGCTCCTATGTCCCCAGTCTGGCACACTAACCACTATACCACCTTGCCTCTCATCTGCCTGCACCATTACATTTATATCCCATCTGTTTTCCTCTTGCAAGGAACCCAAGATAGTTCTCTCTTTTTATCTTTATAACCACCCTATGGGGAAGGTTAGGCCGAGAGGCAGCTTGCTCGCGCGCGCGCGCGCGCTCGCTCTCTCTCTCTCTCTCTCTCTTTCTATACTGCCCAACAGCCAAAGCTATCCAGGCAGTTTATAGTTCATAAAGTATAATAAACTACAGGGCTAAATAAAAATAGCAACAAAGCATCCAATTTTAGTACAGTAAAAATTATTTAAACAACTTAAATAACTTATGCAGGTTGATACACCTAAGTCTGTTAAAACAGCTGACAAGACACACACTCCAGTGTCCTATTTAGAGTTGTTAAATGCCTTGACACAGTGAGCAGTCTTAACCTGGTGCCAAAAGGAGTACAGTTGTGCCCAGGTGGGCCTCAGTGGGAAGTTTGTGTCATACTTGGCTAGTTGCCAGTGAGAAGGGATGTCACCTTGTTGCCCCAGCTGAGCTGCCCTCAGAGGTAACAGCTGGTGGAAGGTACCAAATGCTGAGCACGGTGTCCAGGCAGATAGCAGCTGGGAGAGGAGGTCCATCAAGTATTGTTGTCCCAAGCTGTATAAAGCTTTATAGCTTAAAGCCAGAGGCTTGGATCAGGTTCAGAGGGATATAAGCAGTCAGTGCAAGAGGACCAGAAGTGGTGCTACATGCTCAGACCTTCTGCTCCCAGTTATTAGACTGGCTGCCATGTTTTGCACAGGCTGCAGCATCTGAGCCATCTTCAAGGGTAACCCCACCTAAAGTGCATCACGGTGATCTAGTTTAGAGATTACCAGAGTGTAAATTACTGAGGCCAGTCTGCCTCTGTCCAGATAGGGGCAAAGCTGAGCCACACACTGGAGCTGGGGGAAAGCACTCCTGATCACTTGTGCCTCAATGGCTCAAGTGAGCTGGAGTCCAGTGCTATCCAGAACTGGTTGAAGAGCCTCCATCTGGTCAGAGGACCACCACTAAGAACATTTCAGTCATGTCTGGATAAAGTTTCAGTTTGTTAGCCCTCATCCAGTCCATGGTTGCCATCAGGTTCCAGGTTAGCACATCTGCAGCTTCACCTGCTAGAGATACAAAAGAAAAATATAGCTGCAGTCCCCGATGCTGATGGCAAAATACTCCAAAACTCTGTATGACCTCGCTCAGCAGTTTCATGTAGATGCTGAATAGCATGGGAGAAGACCAACCCCTGAGGAACCCAGTAACTGCCCCAGAGTCACCTAGTGAGCTTCATGGCCAAGTGAAGAGGAGAAAATGGATCTCTTAAGGCTCGGTCTAACCACTGTACCACCCTGGCTCTGAACTCTAGCATCAGCTTCCTGTCTGAACTCCAGCCTTAGTTTCTCCATAGTCTACAAACAAACTTACCTATGATTAACCTTCATGTTACTCTGAAGCTGTAGCTATGTCTTCCTTACATGTAAGCACATTTTTGCATGAATGGGCCTAATCTATACTAGGAACACAGCTGCATTCACAAAAGTGGCCTGTGTGTTCAGGTTCAAGACATGCAAACCAGGACAGACTCAATGTCAGCATGAGGAGCACTGGGACAAGAGTGAGCCCAGTAGCCCCAGCAGAACCCACTACAACCACTGGGCCAAGGCCACTGTGACTGCTGTAGCTGCCAGCCATTAGCCGGCCGCAGTGGTGATTGATGGGAACTTAGTGGACAGCGCTGATCACACCCAAACTGCCAGCAGTGCAGTCTTAATTATGTCGTCTCTTCCTCTCACATGCAAGCACAGCCAGTATAACTAGGAGGGTTGGGCTAGCAAATTCAAATTCGCATCCCAGAGCTCACCTCACCACCGTTGAGCCCTTGATGCTGCTCTGGGGTGGGCAGGCACACTGTCTGCCTATGCCAGGGAAATGGGGAGGGGCAAGTTGTGGTACTGATGAGAGGTCCAGGCCACACACCCAGACTCTAGGCACTGCCATCTTAATTATATCAGACTCTGTTTCATGTACCTCAGAGGTGAGGGGCAGCACAATTAAGATGGCAGCTGAGAAGACGGGGTGCACTGACCGAACTATCAATCCAGGCAGGAACCCTGCCCCTTCACGCACCATCTGAGGGACATGAGAGCAGCCTGCCCCATAGCTAGGCTTCAGTCAGGAAATTACAGATCCAAACTGCAGTAATTCCTGTGGTGCGTAAGGACAAAGTGGAGCTTAATATGTAAGCCAGTGCTTGGAAAATAATTGATATAGAATGTGAATGTCTGGTCATAATAGGGTCCTGACACAATGGCTTTTCCATTCTTGATCTGATCTTTGATCTTACCAAGCCTCCTAATTCATAATCAATTGAACTCAAGAGAATTGTTGACCTTTTGGTGGTTTGGGCTCTCTGCTGCCAAGGTTCTTTTGCTTGCTCCTGTTCTGGCTTTCGTAGGAGACATGGTTTTCTTGTACAGCAGCTGCTTGACCTGCCCTGAACCAAATCTAAAGTTCAGAAAATAACATTTCTCAGGTACAATTGCTTTTCTTGTGGTCCAGTTGGACAAGGTGGGGAAAACATTTTACTAATTTCTTCTCTAACTAAAAAATACTCTTCTCATACTCAGCTTCTGTTATTGGGCTTTTTTCCAGAATGTTTATAAACCTGTTCATCCATAATCACACACATGGTTACAGTTTAAGCATTCTATGTGCAGTGTGCAATCTACACTGTATGCTGCAGAGTCCATTTATTTGCATCCCTCAAAAAGTTTGTCTTTTTCTATTTCTCTTTCTGTCCTTTTTTTTGCACACTTACCTTGAAGAAAGGACCACTGAATACCACAATACTTGCTTTGGAGTAAATGTACATAGCATTGTGCCATGGGACAATGTCTGTAGCCTCAGAACAAAAAGAGATCTACTCAAGATATACTTCTACTCAGTGGTTTTGGTTTAAATATAACACCAATTCATAAGTTGTTACAATGCTGTATGAACCTGACATTAACTAACCCAGAGCTTTAACCCAACAGCAGATGAAAGGTTCAGATTCTGGGATTCTCACAACCAAGACTGCTGGGTTTGGACATCATGACTAACAAACCAGGAATGAGGCAGACATTCCTGGGGGTGAATAGACAACCCATGGTTTAAGTGTCCCATAGATTATCATTACATGTAAACAGGGCTGTTCTTGTTTCTTACCTACTGCCATTCTGCTCCTTCTCTATGTAACACCAGATGCTGCATAGAAAGACTGTTTTACTGCCCAACTTGTACAGAAACAGAACATGTGCATAACTGCAGATAGGACAACAAATAAAAAACATGCAGGCCTCAACTGCCTGGAGGATTTGAGGGGGTCATGGTGTCACTCACTCTATGTGAATGGTCCCTCCACAAGCCAAACAGCACCTTAGCTGAACTGCACAGCAGATAGGAGAACTGCAGCATCATAGCAGGTAGCAATAACCAGGGAGGGGAAAAGTACATAAAATCCTCTGCAAAATTGTTTTTTTTTTTCTTTTGGGGTTGTTAGGAACTTAGGCAGCTTATGTGTAGACATGCCCAGATCAACATCTGAAGTACAATATGTAAATCATATGTAAATGTGTATGCACACTATCTTTCCCCCTTCCCTTCTGTTCTTTTTAGTTTGAAACCAAAAGCCGCATTTCTGCTGAATCAGCCCTGCGACACCCTTATTTTACGGCCCTAGGTGAACGAGTGCACCTCCTTCCTGAGAGTAAGTGTCCAAATAGAACACTGTTACATTGGTACTTTTATTGTACTCAAGGGTTTGCTTTTTCTTTATATTTTGGGGGAAGATGCACATTTTAGTGCGAAAGATTTAGAAAATGCAGCCTTCAAAATGAAGAGGGGAGAAATAAATAGGAGGTGGGACAATAAAATCCAAGTAGCTGAAATTGTAGAATGTATTTAACTTCAACAAGATGCAGTAAGAGGAATTATTTCTCATCCACTGATAACATCTGTACTGTCCAACAGATGCCTGTGGCATTAGCGCACAAAAGTTGCAGAGGTGGGGGTCACATTGCCCCAACAGCTGTGCTCGGCAGTGTGGTTTGAGGACAGAGAAAGTTATTTCCCAGAAATGGGGATATCTTAACAAAGAGAGGACCAGAAGAACACCTTCTGAGAGCTTTGGTGAAACCTGGCATTCTCTCTGAACAGGCAAGACTGTCTGGAAAGGCTCGATGAGGATCACAACACCAAGGACTTTATTAGCACACTCAGGCTCATGCTCAGGCCTTCCTTGCCCACATAGTTCACCTCCTTTGAAGCACCCCATTCCTGTACTGTAGCCGCTGCTTTCTGTGATAGAAGCAGTGGGATTTGTGCCGACAGTCTTATGCACACTTATCTGGAAGCTAGTTCCTCTGGACTGAGTGGGACTTCCTTCTGAGTAAGCATGGCTAGGATCAGTATGGCAGGTGATCTCTGAGGAGTGCTGTCTGTGCCCTCTGCCCTGCACTTTCAGCTAGACAGCCACTTCTTACATTTACACTCCAGTCTCAGGACTTGATGAGAATTATAACTCTGTAGTCATTCTTACCACCACCCCCATCTCCCACTCATTCCTCCAGCTGCCTCCATCTTTTCTCTGAAAGAAATACAGCTTCAAAAGGACCCTGGCTACCGAGGTTCAAGCTTCCAGCATGCAGGTGGGTTCCCATTTCCACTGGGGGTTAATGGGATTAAAGCCATTGAAAGGCATGGTCTTTGTGTTGCTGCATCATGTGCTCAACTGTCACGTCAGAACTTAATTGCATGACACACTGGTGCTTAGGTACAGTGCCACTGTTGCTGCTCTGAAAAGTGAAGCTGAGGCATTCTTAAAGGTCTGTTGCCACATGGTTATACCCAGCTCAGGATTATACAAACCCATTGGCTCTAGGAGTCATCGGTCATCCATAGGTGGGACTGGTGGCAAGAGATAAAAGATGCTATCAAGTCCATGGTGGAGTTAAAAAGAGGACCCCAGTCCTCCTTCCAGCTTATTTCTAGGATGCTCTGGATAGAACCAAAATAACCTCTAGGACCTGGTAGTACTTTTTATCATGTCTAGTCCCAGCCGTATGTCCTTCTTGTTAACCATGTAGCTGTTAACCACGTATGTTTCTTGTAGCTGTTAACCATGTTTTACTGGAATGTTCATGGTTCTCAGGTGCACACCAGACCTTTCTGCAAATCTAGTCGCCTGCACTTCACTTATTCTTGGTTCTGGGTGACAGTGATCTACAGCAGCCTTCCCCCCCCCATGTGCTGAGATACGATTAGCATTGTCCCCACCCAACATGATCAGATGACGTGGTCTAACACCAGGCTTGGGAAGGTTGATCTACACACTTTATTTGGGTTCCTGAGTTCCACTGGCTTGTCCTCATTTTCGAACAGTGGAAATTGCGTAGAACATGTTATACTGATTTGTATTTGTGGCGAAATTCTAGCACAGCCTTCCCAATGACCGTGCCTGGCTGGGAATTATTGGAACTGCTTTCCAACACTTCCAGAGGGCTCAGGTTGGAAAAGGCTGCCTGAGTGTGTGGGTGCAATATGATTTTGCTACTGCTGATCCATAATCATCAATGCACCTCTGTATCCTATAATGTCCAGAGCCTCTCTCTTGTAACTGTTGTAGTTCTGTCTTATTTGAATTAGACTAAACACTTAGAAGTGAAGAAGAGATTCGGACACTCCCTTGCTTTATTATCCAGGACCCCACCCTGATATAGAGCTCTTCCTCTTGTGAAGATCCGCTTGAGGCCCACAGTTGGGGTTGTGAGAGAACAAAAGAATTGCACAATTCCAGCAGGAAACCTTGACAAGTTTAGGATGTAGCAAACTGCATACAATAGGCAAATTGAGAATAATTCACATTTGTTTGGCTTCACTGTCAACTTTCTCTCCCTTCCTCTCTGGAAATGGACGTGTTGAGGAATAATATGATAGAAGTGCTGAGAGTCACAAAACAGGGTGATGGCACCATGTGCTGATGCCAGGCAGAGCAGGTTTACTGAGCCAGTAAGATATCCAAGATCCTTACCTGTTTCAAGTTGCATAATCCTTCATTGGAGAAATATCAAACAGAGCTGCAAGAACAACAGTTGTCACTGCATCACTGCAGACTCTTCAGCATTTTTATGGTTCAGTAAAGCTTCTGTGCATCATTTAAGAGTCTGTACCACAGATCAGTGAATAAGGAGGTCTCTCTTAGTTGTGCTTTTCCTGTTTTGGTACTTTACACACCATAGTTCCTGACTGGCAGCTATTGCAAAATGTTTAAGCAAATATTAAGAGTGGGCAAATAATTTAGCTATCACAGAAGGACCAGCTTAGTCTACTTGCCGTGGCAGTCAGAACTCATTATGACTGTGTCCATAAATTCCTCGAAATTTTGATGGGCAATCAACAGTCTGAAGTACCTCTTAGAATGCTTGGTTCTGGCATTGCAACAGAGACAACACCATGTTCTGGGAGGCCCATTTACCATGTATGCTGATTCACAGTACTTTGAGCAGCCATCCTTCTCCAAATCTGGAGAGAGAGGATTAACAGGGTCATCTGTGAGAGTTTTTATTTCACATGCCTCTGGGAAATGCTCTTGGCCGCAGAAGTGTCAAGAAGTAGTTCATTATATTGGAACGCATCCATGTAAATTAGCTCGGGTGACAAGCTTCCTGGAAAATTGCCTAAGCCTAGTAACTATGTTTTATGACCAGAAACTTGTACCTTTGTTTGTTTCTACACAAACCCCTGGGCTTGGGTTGAATTAGGCATAGTTCAGTGAAGAAACAAGCAGGAATGAATATAAGTGAAGGAACAATCAAGAATACACATTTTATTAGAGAGGATGGCTTAACATTTATCACAGTCTTGGGCTTTAGAGATCATGAGGAAGCCTTGGCTTTCTATGTCTCAGTTCCCCATATGTAATTTTGTTCACGAAGGAAAGTTCCTCTTTCAAACCTCCTTTTCTATCTATTCTTCCAAGGATTGGATTTTGGTTCATTGTTCTCAGATTATCTCCTAATAACTCTCCTTTTCCCATCCCCAGCTCGAGGAAAGAACAGGAGGCAAAGCATATTTTAAGCCTGGTCTACACATTCAATGTATCACCAGGAAGATGAAAGCACTGAAAGGGGGCTGGACTGCATAGATTCCATGGAGCATATCCCCAGAATGATGAAGGCTGGTGTCCACAGCACAGGAGCTGCCTTGCAGTCCCAGGTTGTTTTGCAGAATCCCACAACTTTCACAGTCAGGAAAGACAAAAAAACCTGGTGGTTGCCTGGTCTAGCCTCCATTCTTCAGACAGCAATCAGCATTCTTCACCTGGGCAAAGATCTTCATCGAGCTATTAGCTGCCCTCAAAGGGGTCCTGAGATGTGGATATGGCTGCTGCCCACAGCTGTAGAGGGAGGCAAAAAGGGAGGTGAGCAAGGGCAAGGATCTCACTGCAGAATCAAGACGTGCTTTGCTGCTTGTCTTGTCATGACAAATGTGCTGAATTCCATTGTTTGTTTTCCCCCATCATGAGTTGATTCCTAGGACAACATGCAAACTTGATGAGCATGATATTAACAGCGGGAAAGCCCTGCCTTTGAACTGAAAAGGAAACTTCCAAGTTTTAACCAGGGAGAAGAGAAGAAGAGAAGAGAAGAGAAGAGAAGAGAAGAGAAGAGAAGAGAAGAGGCCTTTTTCCCCCTTTGCACTTCCTCTGTTCTTTTTATAAAGAATGAGTCTCAATTCTAAAAGGTACAAACATTTGAATGAGAGAATGAGATTCAGGGAGGCCTTTTGCAAAATTTCCTGGCCTTCTCATTCCATTGTTTGTTTTCTGAACTCATGCTGCTACACAAAAAGCTCCAGATTTACGCTTGTTCACAAGTTGGTTTCAGATTGCAGAGCATGATCTAAACCATGCTTTATTAGATTTCTATCCAGTGTTTCTGAGAATCTCTTTCACTCATCGCAAGAATCATTCATCAAAAACCTGCCACTAAACAAATTAGATGCACTTTCCCTGCGAAAGAGAACTGAGATCCGATTGAAGAACTGCAGAAGCATCTGAGTTGCTATCAAAGCTCATTATAAAATGTGAAATAACTCAAGCCTTTCTTCCATTCTGATGCCAGATTCCTGCAGCAAATTCTGCTTTTGTGACCAGTATGCTAAGTGCTTGCCCTTTTCATTTCTTGCCCACATTGAGAAAGACACTCAAACATAATCAAAAAGCTTTTCTCAAACACGTTGGACACACGCATGCAGGCGTACTCATTATCCTGTGCATGTTTAACTCAGAAGTAAGCTCCATTAACATGCTAATAGGGCTTCCTCTCAGGTGTGCATAGGATTACATCCATATGCAACATGTATAGTATTAAGATCCTGTAGATTATAGTTTTTATTTTTCTTACTCAGGAGCACATCCTATTCAGGCCAATCAAGCAAGGTCCTGTTTGGAAGAGGTTCCCAAAGAGTGGGCAAATTCTCAGCCTGTCTCACTTTGATGTGTGTGTGTGTTTTTTTAAGGGACCTTATTTTCTGTTACTTTTCTTTAGCTAGTATGCTTTTATTCTGGTAGGCAGGAGCTAGAACTCTTGGGTTCTTTCAGATGAACACCTTCTGTCACTACCAGTCAAAAGGATTTGTGCAGCAGCTAATCATTTCCTTCAGAGAGTGCATTCTTGTCCGTGTTTAGGTAGGAAGGAGTTCTCCAAGCATGATCCTTTCAGGGTGGTTGGCTGCAGCATGCTAGGAGTTGTAGGCATCTTTTTCCTGTCTAAACATGCATACAAATGCACCCTTACCCAACCCTCCAGGGCAAGAAAGATGTTGAAAGGGGTGATGGGAAAACAACAAAAACTGTCTGAAGTTCTCATAAAAGTCTGTGAATGAAGCAGGGCAATCGCTCAATAAAAGTCTCATCTGGAAGCTTCTCTTATGAAAGCATAAGCAGGTTTGTGTAATCAGATGTTTCTCTTTGCCTATCATGGGGTCTTATCCCAGTTACATCTTTCACACTGTACAGCCTCTAGAGTAACACATTCTTTCAGCGTTGCCATTTTGAGAAGTGTTAAGGGTACTCATTTGATAGAGTGGTAGTACTTCTGCAGGCACGAAAATTTTACAACACATGATCTGGACAACACACCCAGTGCAGGCACAACTTATCGTGAAGTAGTTGAGGCAGCAACTTCCAGAAGGAGGGCATTGCTCCTGCCTCTGGTCTCCGTATTTGTAACATTTTTTTGAAAAGCATAAAGTCCAGCTGGCCAAAGGGGGAGGCACATGAGGGCTCACTGACCTTTATACTTTACAATGCATTGCGGAGCTAAACACTGGTACCTCTTTTTGAGATTAGGAATCAAGATTTAGCCTGATGACTACCTGAATTGCCTAACAAGCCAGCAGCCCTGCTGTGCACAGAAAGATGGGTCACCTCAATCATGAATGAGCAAAGGACATGAAAGAAATGGTCCTCCAGGGCCTAATGAGCTCCATCCCAGAGTCCTAAAAGAGCTAGCAGAGGAACTCTCAGAATCACTGTCTATTATGTTTGATAAATCATAGAAAACAAGTGTCACACAACTGGAGAAGGGTTGTGTGACACTTGGGAAGGTTGTGTGACAGTTGTGAAGGTCATGTGACACAGGTGTCACATTGTCCCCATCTTCAAAAAATAAAGGAAAAAAGATGAACTGGGAACTACAGACAAGTTAGTCTGACATAGCATGCCAGGAAAAATTCTGGAGCAAATTCTTTAAAAATCAGTCTGGAAGCACCTTGAAGAAAAAGTAGTGATTAATTAAAGCCAACATGGATTTATCAAGAATAAATCCTGTCATACTAATTTAATTTCATTTTTTGTCTGGGTAACTTCCCAAATGGACAGCAGAAACACTGTGGACATAATTTACCTCGACTTTAACCAAGCTTTCAACATGGTTCCCCATGATATCCTGATAAACTAGCAAAAAGTGGACTAGATAGAAAGTGGACTATTACGTGGATCCAAAATTGACTACTAAATCAGACACTGAGAGTGCTCATCAGTGGCATCTTCTCAAATTGGAGAAAGGTAACTAGTGGGGTGTCTCGGAGTTTGGCCCTAGGCCCAGTGCTCTTCTAACATCTTTATTAATGATGAACTGGAAGGAACAATAATAAAATTTGCAGACAATATAAAACTGAGTGGAATAGCAAACCCCAGAAGACAAAATGAAGATCCAGGGCTATCTTGATAAGCTGGAACACTGGGCTGAAAGCAACAAATTGAGATTCAATAAGGACAAATGCCAAGTCCTCCACCTAGAAAAAAACAAATCATATGCATCAATACAAGATGGGGAATAAGTGGCTCAACAGAACCGAAAAACAAGGCCTTGAAGTTATTGTGGACAACAGGCTAAATATGAGTCAACAATATGATGCAGCAGTAAAAACGGCAAATGCTATTTTGCGATGCATTAATAGAAGTATTACTTCAAAATCTTGAGAAGTAATAGTTCCTCTATACTCTTCAACTGCCCTACCTCATCTGAAATACTGTGTCCAGTTCTGGGCAAGATTTAAGAAAGATGCAGAAAAATTAGAAAGGATCCAGAGGAGGGCAACAAAAATGATCCAGGGTTTGGAAGCACTGCCCTATGAGGAGAAACTGATAGAACTGGGTATCCTCACTGTCAGACCAGTTCAACAATGGAACCAGTTGTCTAGAGAGGTCTTGGGCTCCTCCACACTGGAGACATTCAGAAAGAAACTGGACAGTCATCTGAGTGAGTTGGTGTAAATCGGTGACCTACAACAGCAGGGGGTTGGACCCGATGGCCTTCTTGGTCCTTTCCAGCTCTACTGTCCTGTGATTCTATGAGCAGGCTGTATAAGAGTCAGTAATTTGACTAGCTAACTCAAATCCATATGTGAAATTTAGCTCTGCCCTCTTTTTTGGGCTTTTTGCCTCCTTACAACTATTGGAACACAAGGCTGCAATGAGAATACAAATTATAACTGACCAATTTGCACTTTTCTAGAACTTATAAAAGTAGGCCAGTCATGAAAGCATCTAAATTCCTAAATCTAGCAACTTTATGAATCAGAGTCTTCAGTTCTTTAAACTGCCTTGAATTGTCCACTTTCAGCTGTCAATCATGTACAACCTCTCCTCTTCCTGAGCTCTGTGTGCAGTTTTACCATAGTTCAGCCCCTCCCTCTCCCAATGTTACCAGCACCCATTATTTGCTTTGGGCCTCACGTACTTTTCAGCCTACTTCAAACTTCATTACACTCACTTTAATAAACCTGTCTCTTGGCTATGCTGCCTAGCATTCCTCACAATATTTCATACAGCCCCTCTGAACAGTTAGCATTGTGAAATTTCTTCAGAGTCGTCCTGGAATAGCTCTCCTTGGCTTCTTGTGTCCTCTGCCCTTTCCCTCAAAGCATCCTTATCTCTCCTTCCTTTTTTCTCAGTCCATTAACTACTCTGCACCCTTCCTTTAGCCACCCTGCCTCTGGTTCCCTGGTCACTTACCTTTCATACCTCCTAGGACCAGTCTTTCTTTGCCCCACCAGCAAAGCTACTCCTACCTCTGGAGCCTCTGTGAAGCCTTATTTCCAGCCCAGTTGGCCGTTTTTGCTTCCCTCAAAGAAGCCAGACTGAAAGCATTCTAACAGATGTCTCTCTTGAACAGTTGAATGAGCATTCTGTATCACCACAGTGGTTCAGCTTTCCTGCCATAGTGTAATGCAGTGTAATCATAATTTCTTCTAATTTCAAACCTGGATGGCGCCATTTTGGGGGGAACAAAAGGGCTACTCAAGAAAAGGGTTGTTGTTTCTGCACACTCAGGAATGTCCTAGGTGTGCAAAAGTAAGCTATTTGTAAATTAAAATGAAGCCTATTAAAATACCACTCAGGCAATCTGGAATGAACGTGTGCTCAGTAATGTCTGGGCTCAATGGACTATAAGACAGTGGAGCCGTGGAGCCATTGAGGGTGTGCATTGGAGAAAAAGGTAAATGGGCGGGGGGGGGGGCTGTTTTGTTTAAAAGCTTACCATATTTTGAATGGGAGGGGAGATTAGGGGATGTATGTCATGAAGTTAAAATGCCCCCCATGGAGGGATCTCCACCCTTTTCTGTCTCGAGGGCTACATGTGATGTTGGCTGATGAGTCTCGCAGAAGTGAGCATAGACACATCCCAATGATCAACGAGTAATCTCTATGGGGGAAGGAGAAAGCAGGGCAGTTAGAGGCATCCATGGAAGGCTGCATTAAGGCAGTGTGGGGTAAAAGGACTGATCTGTTTCCCATTCTTCATAAATCTGTCACATATGCTATGCAACACTAAGATGGCAGCCTTAACCCTGTATAATGTAGTTCTATAAAAGTGCAGGAGAGTATTTCAGGAGAAGGGGGTTTCTTCCTGAAATCTCTGCTGCTCTGCCAGCCCTGGATTTACTCCATTAACACATAATGCTAACACATGGTTTGGGTTATCAAATTTGGGGATGTCATTTTGCGCAAACATCGCTGCACTAACAAACCAAGGATTCTTCACCATGAACAACCCAGAAAGGAAATCCATAGGCTGATGCTGGGTTGTGAACTCTGGGGGCTTAAGGCATAGTTGCCTGTACATGTGAACTCAAGACTATAGGTTGTTCATGGGTTTGTTTCACCAGACTACAGAGGCAACTGGCAAGAGCAGTAAATAAAAAGCCTAGATGCTCTTCATGCCAGCACTAAAAATGCATTTGGGATACACCAAAGGAACAGGTGAAGGAGGTGGGAAACAACTCAGAGATTGAGAAAACTTCTGTTTGACTCTGCTGGATGAAACCCTGGGTAGGGTAGCATAGCATGTGGTAAATTATGGGCCCAGTGTTGCCTGTGACCCAGATCTGTAAGTCTCCTCTTCCAGAACATCTGGAGCTTAGAACAGCTCCTGTACTAGATGTGCTTCTGTTTTGGACTAGCTGGGGTACTCCATTTGCAAGTTCCTTGTACATTTACATCTAGGATAAACTGTAGCTGTATGTAAGGAATGTGCTCTCAGCACTGAAGTTGTGAGCTGGATCTTGGCTCCTAGAGATATTTTTTCAGATCTAGTCTGATAGTTGCTGTCAATCATGACAATGCAATCTGCCAGTAACAGTGAGAAAACGAAACATATTGAAAGTCCACTCATTTTGATGGGGTTGATTAGTGCTCCAAAGATCAGATTACATATATATGCATTGTATATTTGCATATCCTATATATGGATTCAGATTTCTGCACTCTTTGAAAGGCTTCTGTTCTCAGTTCAAGTATGCAGGGGACTTATGCAGTCTCCTAATCAGTGGAAAAAAAAATAACCAGGCTTGATTTTTCCAGTTTTTCTCTCTGTTATACATGAATGAAGCAGAGTTCAGTGTTTTCCCTGAGTCAGACCGTTCTAATAATCATCATAGTAATGTTGAGCGAGTGCCCTTTTTGATGGAAAGGCGAGGTACAACTTTAATATCTAAATGGTTTTGTTGTCCCATCCCATTTTCAGCTTGGGTGCATCAAAGGCTTTGCTGCAAGAACATGCTTAGTAGTTACTTAGCATTGACTGAGGACAGTACTAAATATATTTTAATGGTGTTTTAATACTGGCTTTTGCTGGCTATAGTGGATCCACTGACAGCCCTATTTATGAGTTAACAGTTCAACTGTCTATTAAATCCTTGGGCAAAACTGCTCCCGAAAGACATTGCTTCAGCAAAGCGTTTAATCACATGCCAGTGCTTAGCACCTGGACTGCCTTATGGAAATCAATACAATAGGATATAGTGCCACAGCCTAAGTACCTTGATGGTTTGGTGTAATAGCGTTTTTCCCCCCTAGGATAAAATATGGTGATAGTCATTGTTTGTTAATTCAGGTAGAGAGAGACACACTATTTCTTCTTGCTCTTTAACCAAAAATAACTCCCAGAGCTCCATATTTTTTTAAATAAAGAAGGCAGCTCCTTACCTCAGGTTTATAATCTAAAAGACATGACACTAAAGTGTGTGTGTGTGTGTGTGTGTGTGTGTGTGTTGGAGGGGGGACTGTGGGGAAGCAAGAGGAGAAAAAAATCACAAACTCTGACACCTGTACTTAAAATTGGAAAAGATTGGCTGGGATGAGAACAGTTCAACAACAGAAGGAGTTTAATGGAGCTGCTCTTTTCACAGAGGCCATGGATTGGCCTTAGTTCTCCTTTGCCCCTCTGTTTCAGCCTGGTAGAATGGCTCTTCCCAGGTCACACTATTTCTGCCCTAAATTCATTCAATTGGGTACATATTTCAATTTTTTGGAACTCTGGTGATTAACAAATAGTTTGTATGCTCAAAGCAATCCTTTTATATTTACTCATGCATGCTAAAGTTTGTTTCCTGTGTTATTCACTAGCCATAAATCCTTGAACACACTGGCTGGATTCAGATAATGCAATAGCACACACTCAAGGGTTGAGTGTGGGTTGTTGTTGAATCGGGGTGGTTGTAGAAATGTGAGTTACGTTGTCTTGAACCCAGCTGGGATAACCACAGTTCCCAACTCAACAAAAAAGCAAAGGTTCTCTTCATGTGTTGTTCTTGGTTAATAAGCCATGGCTTGTTCGTGTGGCTGCCTTCAGACAAAACAACCCATCATTCAACAGGAATGCACAGTTCAGAAACAACTTGCTCTCAAACCATGTTGAACCTGTGAGCGCTCGTTAAACCCAGTCACTGGGACTTACTTGATGAGTAACATGTGTAGAACTTCACATTTAGTTATTTAAATCCAGAAACTCTGCAAGTTGTTCTGCCATTGCAGCCGGGGCCTGTTTGCACTGTATACCAAAAACACAAGAGCCCTGTGAATTTTGGAGGTGCTTTGCTTCTATGCAAACACGTCAAGTCAGTACCTGTGACTGTATAATCTCTGCACAAATGCAGACTCTGCATCTGGGAGTACGGAAGTTTGGAAGTAAAATTGTGCAATCAGAAGTGCAAGCAAAGCATGTCCAAATAAATATATACCTAGGAGCAGATAGCCCTCTCTCATATTGATACGTAGGTCTCATCTTGCTACAACCTGGAGTCCTCACGTGAAGCCGGAGGGTGGGAGATGCAGGCCTGGGAAAAAGAAGGACTTTTTCACACAGTACAGTGCTATGGAATTCACTACCCCGAGATGCAGTGACAGCCACCAATTTAAAAGGGGATTAGACAAATGCATAGCTACCTCCAGTATCAGACGCAAAATACCTGTATAGAGCAGTTTGTGGAGAACATGGGTAGGAAGTTGCTGTGGGCTTCCCATGAGCAGGCAGTCGGTCTCTGTGTGAACAGCATGCTGGACTGTGGACCCTTGGTTTGATCCAGCAGAGCTTTTCTGTTTTAGCAAGCTTGGACTTCAATACATCCACCTAGAGCAGGATGGGGAGAATGGGACCCTCCAGATGTGGCCCGGCACCCCACCCCATCAGCTGTGCAGACTAAGGCTGATGGGAGAGGCAACCCAACATCTTGAAGACAACTTGCTGCTCACCCCCATTGCAGAATGTAATTGCGAGAGTCATGCATCTATCGGGTCAGATGTGCTATTAGAAAAAACATCAAATGGCGCATTCTATGCATGTGTAGAGGAAGATTACGTTCTACAACTCCCAGCATCTGTTTAGGCATAGGACTTCTATGTTACAATGTATCTGTTGGAGTCAAAAGGCAAATTATGACAAAGTCTCAGTTCTGGCATTTGGAGTAGTGTTCCATGACGTCTTGATGAAGTCACTGCATTCCTTTTCAATTCTTTCAATTTTGGATCAATACCAAGGCATTGAAACATCCTCTGTTGGCTTGGAAAGTATCCAAGCTTGCTTAGTGCAGGCTAAGGGTAAACATACCCTTAACCAACTGACATTACACATGTTCACAAGCAGCTTGGTGATTCTTTTCTGTAATTTTCACTGGTTGTTTGCACATCATGCCAACCCACCCCACAAAACAAATAACCATGTACACCTGGCAGATGGTCGGGCTCGTTGTGGGTTGCAGGCCCTTTCCTTTCCTCTTCTGCTACCTCAGTTCTCTCATGGGTATCCCAGGGAACATGGCAAGAAGTTCAGCTCATCCCCCACTTCCTACTTTGATTTCAAGCTGTGTAATGTCACCATTGGTTTTCACGTCACACTTTTTTTCAGAGATGATGAAAGCTCACTGTCAGTTTGGCTTTTACAGTCCTTTTTATGGCAGCTACAAATAGTCACTTCAAAGTTGCCTCCCCTAATTTTTGCAAATGTTTCCATTTAAAAATGTATACCCACACTTGAATAGCTGAAGACGTCTGCAGTTGTGTGGGTGCAGGAACGGGAAGTCTCAGGTGGGCAGTGTGCAAGAGATGCCTGCTGGCAAAGTCCAGCAAGTACCCACCCTAAGCATGGCTTCACAGAGGCCACGGTTAAGTTTATTTTCCCTTTGGGTTGCCTTTGACAGCTTGCAAAGGTACAAGTGATCTCTGTAGGAGTGCAGCAGTGGCGGCTTATTCATCCCCTTCATGGCAAGGCTCGTGTCCAAAAGGGTGCCTTCAATTTTGCAGTTGTTCCCAAGACTAAACTACCTTGGGAACATGCAAAATGCAAGTCACCTCATGTCGGTCTGTCAAAGGTGAAGCTCTATTTAAAAGTAGGATTTAGAAATCATTAAAAATACATATTGTTGGCAGGATACAGGAATGTACAGCCTACAGAAGTGGTTTAAGCTGCATATTTATCCATGACTATAGAACTTTATAGTGCAATGTCAGAGGCATGTTTACTCAGAAGTAAATTTATGGAGTTCAATAGGACTAAATTGTTGGGATTTTTTAATGTGCATAAAAATGCATGCATTTTGTCCATGTTTCTCTTAATAAATCTAGTATACCTTTTTGCCTAATATATACAAATATGCAAGCAAGTGCTATGGTAGAATGTATCTTAATGTTATTTTTGGTAATATATACATTTTATGTGCATTTTTCTTTGATATATGCACCTTGACTCAAAAGTGCAAAAAGAATTATCATTGAAACATGTGAATTAAATTTTAAATCCACAAGCACTCAGTGAAATTCCAATATGGCCTAAACGAGGGCATTCTTGTTAACATGAGCCCTTCAGTTCTTGTCCTGGTCTGTATCGGGAAGAGAGCACCTATCCAACTCTGAAATACAACAAAGTAGAAGGCCAGAGCTGAATGGTGCTTTCTAACATGCATTAGAAAAAGGCAGTACCAAGTCACATATTCCCTGAAGTTGAAAATTACCCTGTTCCTGTAACATGTTCCTTTGCTTTCTATTGAATAATTCTGCCAGGTTTCCCCTACAGCTCTTTCCTGGAGGATTTCTCATTGTCAGGACAGAATTATTTATTAGACCATGTCTAGCTATTGGTGTGAATTTGAGATAACCCTTTTTGTTCTAATGTGTTTTGTCCCTATTCAGCCAAGTGATACGCTGTGCAAATATTTGGCTCTGTGCTATACAAGGCGTGATTTATAATCCCCCTCCACTTGCTCACTCATGGCTTGGCAGGCTGAATCCTAGTCGATGGCTTTCGGAGCACTCACACTCTGTCTCCTGCCTTTCCGCTCCCTTTCCCTTGTGGTTGAGTAAGGCCTTGCAAGTCAGTAACCCCATCGGAGAAGGGAGATGTTGACACAGCTGGTGTGACTGTGCGTGTGTCATTCTAGTGGAGATGATAATAACGCAAGAAAATTGCCTTTATAAAGTGACCTAGTCCCAAGTTCCAGTATCTGTCTCCTTCCTCATTTGCCAAGATTGCTGTCACCCTGTGGTCATGGTTACCCTCCCCTGATAAATAAGATTATCCAGCGTATCCCACAAGAGTGCACCCTAATTAAAACGTGATCCTATGTGTGTTTAGACAGAAAAAAGGATTTAATTACCAGCATGCCCCAGCCAGTCATGCTGGATATTTTAGATAGTTTTTCTGACAAAATATCATGGGATTGTGCCCATAACCTAGCTCAAGTTAGTCACCGTATCTAAGGCTGCTTCTAGATGAAGGGGCCCTGACACTAACAATCAATAAAAATGTTTTAATAAATAAATAAATAAATAAATACAATCAGAAGGTATCATGCAGTGATTCCATTTCTTCCTGATGGATTTTCTGCAGTAAGGAAAAAGAAGCACAGTGAGAAAGCTTCACAGGTAGGGCATCAAGCAGAACATGTCATAATCCAAACACATGTGCCCCATGAATAAGGCAGGATGGTGCCACAATTTAAAAACTTGTCTGAAAATACCGTAAGACCCACTGAAAGCTTAAATAGTTTGGGGTTTCTGCAGTTTTCATAGCAGGCTCTTGTGGCATTGTCCCGCCTCACTCACAGAATTGCCCAGTCTGTCCAAGCACTGTCTTCTTCCTTTTAGAGCCTCCCCTTTTGTCTCTGTTTATTCCAAAGGTGCTTCCACACAGATTGCTCCTGTCAAGGAGTTAGAAAAATCCTGTACCCTTGGCCTACTGAGCAGACCTGAACAGAGTAAAATATGCATAAGATCGTGCAGGATTTCACTCAGCTAATTTTAGCTGGATGTGATATTCTTCCTTCGTAATGACATTTTAAACATTCCATAATCTCATTCTGTACTTTGTACTTTTGCTTTAAGTTTGGGGTATTTTTAATATTGTTGATGTGTGCCTCATTTTTTTTTTTCTTTTTCACTTTGACTGACAAAGCAGAAATAGCTATAGATACTTTTTTTTTCTTTTTAGCAACGCTTTATCCTGTTGCAAACTTGAAGTCCTTGTTCCCTGGCTGTGCATTCAGACACAAACAGTTCCTTGAACTTGTCCTCCTGTATTTTATGTGCTTGAAGGTTTTTTTGACAGAAGAGTGTATTCTGTCTCCTGCCTGGAGAGGTGATAATATCACTCTTCTGCCATGTGATGCCAATCAGTCTGCCTCTTTCAGAAGTAATTGTTTTGTTTTTATCTTTGCTTTGTATTCAGCAAAGAAACCAATTTATTTTTTATTAACATGCACATTCAAGGTCAAGCCTATTCCTTGTTATAATTGATGTATTTCAACAAGAAGAGACCTGGGTCAGAATGGCCAGGGCTGATGGGAGTTGGAATCCAAGCGATCTGGAGGGTGAAGGATGATTTAGAGTTTCATACTGTTTGGACAGAGAAGGCTGGGGGGCATCGTATTGGCACATGGTAAGAGCTTCTAAAATATGAGCCAGGCAAAGGTCATCTGCCATGCCAGGGCATTCTGTGTGGCTGTCATGTGCTCTTCTGGCCCAAAGCCAGGGTGGTAACTGCATGTAGAACGATGCTTTAAAAGGGCTCATTTTTGTACTGTGAAGACCTGTATTGCTAGGACTGAAGGGATTTTTTTAGTCTGCTGGCCAAGACTGAGTCCCATTCAATCACTATATAAGATTTCTAACTCGTACTACAGTAAGAAAGAAAGTTGGCCTTTTAATTTCCAAGAAAGCAACTTTGCTGCTTCTAAGACATATGTTTGCCATTGTAGTGTAGATGCATCTCAGAGCCTACTGTGCTAACATTACATTACTGCTGTCTTGCATACATCCATGTTTTCCTAGTAAGTATTATCATTTCTCACTTTTCTTCTGGCTTTTTGTGGAAAACTGAGGCATGTTTTCTACACACAGAGTTTCCTTGGCCTGTGCCTCTTTTATGACTTGCAAAAGAAAGAAAGAAAAAGATCTCAGAAGTTCTCAGAAGTACTCGTGGGAAGACAAACAGAAGGCCTATATTTCAACAATTCTGAAATATATTGAGCTGATAGGCTCTTTTAGAATGTTTCTTTCCTATTTTTGTGTGATATTCTTTCAGTTCCTTTGTGTTTTTCATGACTTGCCCTCACTTTTAAAACAAACATGAGATTATGCTAGAATGTGACCTTGAAGTGTGTTTCTTGAAGAAGAAGAAAAAAAGACTTGTTCACTTATTTAATTTAGCATGGGAGTGGAGGCCACACAACCTGGTGAGGCTACATCATGTGTTTCTAGGTGATTCACCCAGATCAGCTGATGCCAGATTAAGAGCAGAGGGCCCTACAATGTCAGGTTCAGCATTGCGATTTCAAGGTCCCATTCCTTTTTTTTTAAATGGTTTTGTTGGCCAGGGCAGGCTCATTAGCAGCACATGGGCCATTTATCTCTCTCCTCCTCCTCCTCCTCCACCACCACAACCACCACACACACACACACACACACACACACCAGTCTATGAAACTGTTTCTCCCATGACTGCAGAAGCCCTAAATGTCCTTGGGGCATGTCTGGCTCCTAGTGAGAATGAACCCAGCACACACGTACACCACACACTGAGTTTAGGTTTTGTGTCTCAGGATAAAGTCACTCCATTGTGCTTCATGTGCAATCCTTTCTGAATGGGACCTGGGTGTGAAATTGACGGGCTTGGCAGACCCATCCCTGAACATGCCTGGCTCTCTATATGCCTGCCTTTGCTCCTGTATCATAGAGAACTGTGTGGCATGTGCCCAGGAGTCTTTCCTTGTCCCCTGCTTAGTGGTGTCCTGCAGCAAAAGGTCCAAATGTAGCTTTGGGGTGAGAGATTCCCTATCTTATTGCACCCTCACCTTTCACTTCTATTGATGGTGATGGGAAACTGTATATTCAAGCTGGCACAATATTTGCTACTGTGAACATTCTCTTGTGTGCCTCATGTCGGAAACGCAGATAATATATTGAAACCTGATTACGTTCAAACAAAAGATGGGTTTAAAGGAGAGGTGATTTTATCAGATTTATTCCAAGTGACGCAATGGAATGTCTAATAGAATGCTTTAATGGAATAAATGGAAATGCTGATAACAATATAGAAACTGCATTCATTTACCAGTGCAGTGTCTGAATGTTTTATAAAGAATGGTGTGGATGTGTTTGTTCATTGTACTACAGACATGACATGGATTGTTGTGAATGTTGATTATTTTCTCATCTGAGGTCCATATTGCAAATGGTACAAACACTGAAAATAAACTTTGCTGAGTACTGCCTAGCTCTGTTCACATATTTTATTCGGAAGGTATTCAGCTGACATGCCCCTTAATGAGGTGATATACAATAAAAACATATCCATAGGCAGTTATCATATGACAGGCATTGCCCCAAATCATACAATCTGAGATTAAGCGAGCTCTTTTCTCTTGCAAATGTCATTCCCCTTATCAAATGGAGGTATGCTTATTGGTTACCATCCAAGGTGACCATATGCCATAGCTGGAAGTATCCACCACTCTTGAACCATCTTTTTACAGAGGATCTGCTTTCTGCCTCCAGCCAAATGGACCACTGATTCTTCTGCCTAGTCTTACAGTTGCCATCTCATCCGGATTTAAGTGGTAAGAATTTTCTGTTGCCCAGTCGGGATTTTATTCACCCTAATTTCCAGCCATTGAGTGAATTCAAGCAACATTATAACCACACTGCAAATAAACTCCAGTGTGGGGTTTGCAGATCAACCCACTGTGCACTAGACAGATGTTTGACTTTGCCATGGCTTGTTCTCTGCTTTCTTGACCCTAACCTCCCATTACTCCAGTTGCAATTTCAGGGTCTTGCACCGCAGAACTTGGTCTCCCCCCACTGCTCTGATTGTGACCCCTTTTCATTAACTTTTTTTTCATGGGGCCCCATGCTGTGAAAGCTCCACACAGCTCCACAGGATGTCCATCACTGATTTGTTACCCTTTAAAAAAATGGGCAGCACAAATGTGCTCAATTTGGTTCACAATTTTGGACCTACTCCTTAAGGATATTCCTCATTCTTTGATGCACACTTACAGCTGCCCAAAATGTGGAGTCTTTGACAATAGGTGTAAAATATCTATTGACAAAGTCTGGTAGATCACCTTATAGTGTAGCCATGAGTCTTCCAGTGCCCTTAATCTTTTTCACTTCTGAAATTTACCTGCTATCCCCTTTTTGCAAGCATTTCTTTCAAACTACCTAGCAAATTTCAGGATTGTTCTTTTCTTTTTTGGAAAGGAAATATATGCCAACGCCATGACTCCCAACTGTGCAGAAAGCAACCTATAGGCAGCCTCATTTGATCCATGTGCATGGCTTGTTGTCTACAGCGTTTTGACAACAGACCATTACCAGGACATTGGCTACCCAAATTCCACATTTCAGTGCACACCTGTGAAGGACCAGCTGGAAAAACAGTATGAAATTGCACACATTTGTGTTACCCTCTTCACCAAAAAAGAGTAACGAGCTAGTGAACATTGCTTCAAAGTACTGCTTGGACATTTGTGGAATGGCAGTTGTATAGGCAAGACCTCCAAGAACTCTTCACTTCCTGCAACCCATAATGGGATCAGCCTCCTGGGTTTGGATGGTGTGCCAACCCACCATGGTTTCAACAACACCCACAAGCTATAGTTGTCGGAATGGTTTTTGACCCCAAACAATCCACCCTGTGGGAAGAGGTCTAGGTTTAGATGATTTGGCAAACCACCATGACTACCCATGATGGACCGCTGTGCCATGCAAACCCAGTCAATTGCAGTTATGCATGCATGTTCTGGCAAGATTCCCAGACATGCGAGAAGCAGAAGACCATTTTGGCTGGACAGACAGCTAAGATTCTGAGAATGAGATATACAAAGGGGAGTTGGCCTATCCCAGTGACCAATCAGCCGGGTGGTGGTGCCCAATTGGGGGCAGCACTGCTCACCTGATCCCCCTGCTGTCCTACCTGCAGATATGCCCGGAAGAAGCGCCTCACACATGAGACAAAAGGAGGAGAACCAGTTGGGCAATGGTGCCAGTTGGAAGCAGCGCCACCCAGGTGATTCCACCGCCGCCCCCTTTTCTCACTCCTGCTTGTGAGAAAGGTGCTCAGGTAGATGCCAGGTTGAGGGGGTCTCTCTTGTGATCACAGCTGTCAAAATGAGGATCCTCATTCCTCCCTTGGAGTCTCCTGGGATGCTACCTGGAGGATGGACATTTGACCCATGTGCAAACTGGAAATGTCACATGTGGATGGAAGGCAAGGCAAACAGCAGTCTCTACTGACGGTAGAAAGGTGGACTAGAGATGAGAGAAATAGGTTATACATCTTTTTATACTACATTATGTAAGTTTTTATTTTTGGATACTCTCCGGGAGCTTTGGTTATTGGGTACTATAGAAATATGATATTCTCTAATAATTTCAAGGAGCCATTAACATACAACCAGCTTTTCTAACTTAGCTTCTCTTTCCTCTTATGTTTATTTTTCAGCAGAATTTTAATGGGGGGCTGTTTTCAAAGAACTCCTTCTCCATGTGCTTTCTGAGGTACATATAACAAACCTTTCAGAAAATGTGCCACATTTCCCCTCCATATTGTTGGAACAGCCCCAAAGGATGCTGAAAACAGTTTGGAGACAAGCAACTGCTGTTGCTAACTTCTCTGCAGCACGAAAACAGCTGAAGCAACCTACTTTCTCACATCCCCCAGTCATTGTTTTTGAATACCATCCATTATAATGAAGAAACTAACTTTTGGTTTTATTTATTTATTTATTGTCGCGGTTGTCTCCCCCTCTTACCAAGTGCTCCTTTCTCTTTCCTTACACACACATACAGTGGCTGTGACCTAGAAAATGCTTATTAATTATCCACAGTGTAAAGATACAAGGAAATGCAGCAGAGAGATGCTCAGTTATTTGTGTGAAGCAGTTACATAATCTCTCCCTCCTCCATTAGCTAATAAGCTCTCTGCCACTAGAGGAGGAGCTCTAGAATTATTTTTTGCGTGTTGTCATGTTGTTTGTGCCAGAGGTGGGGTGAGTATTCTCAGGTGGAAGGCTCAGGTGTGTGTGCAGTGCTGCTCGAACAAGTGCAAGATTTTGCTGTGCCCACCTGGATCAAACCCCCTGCCTCAGTTTGGTTCAGACTCCACCACTGGCCAAGGCTTCTTGTCTCCCTGGTTAAGGTTGTCCAAGACGGACCACCTTATGAAGCTCAAGTTCAGATGCTTTGGCCTACCCTGTACAGCCAATGGTGAAGGATGATGAGAGTTGTAAGCCAAAGCATCTGGAAGGCTGCAGGATGCCCTTCCTTGCCCAAGGTCATGGCCAGTGCCACTGTCAGTGCTGCCACTGAACCTGCTCTGTGAAGTCTGTAGCTCTCAAAATGTGTGGAGCACGACAGAAAGCAACCCGCTGCTAGTGCTCCTCTTGGTCATGAGGAGTCTTCAGTTGTTGTTGACCTGCTCTTCTGTTCATTTATTTATTTAATTTTTTTTTTAAATTTATATCCTGCCTTTTTCCTACAAAGGGCTCAAGGCAGCTCACATCATTCACCATCAATCACGGTGTGTCCTGTCCTTCCGGTTATACAGTGATCCACCTTTAATTGGATGGCCTGGCCCACCTCAGAATGTGTGTAAAGGTTTGCATGTTTACAAAGGGCTCCCATTGTGTATCGAAAGCTCAGCCCAGCCTTTTTTAACCTGGTACCTTCCAAGTGTGCCAGGACTCCAGCTCCCATAAGTCCCAGCCATATTGGGAAAACAGAAACCTTAATTCAACTTTTCCCAGCTGATACCATGACACTCAGGACAATAACACTCTTAGGCAAACCATCCCCAGCCTGGAACCCTCCAGAGGTGTTGCAGTTCCCACCGTGATACTTCTGCAGGACATCAGGTTAGGGAACCTGCCATAAACTGCCCAAATAATCTAGAGCCATGGATGACAACTCACACTCCATTCGCTAAATTTTCACCTGAAAGTGTAATTTTAAAATGGTGGTGAGAGGGAGGCTACAGGTTCTTTTGCATTTTTGAAAAAATAAGTCAACCAACAGGGTTTTTGAGTCTGAACTTCAGGATTTGGCACAGAACCTGAATCTATTGTCTGTGAGTTCTCAGGAAGTACTTGAAGTTCAGGACAGGCATTTTAAAAATATCTTGAAAAGTTGCCCATACCAACTCGTTAGGTGAGTCTGCTCAACCGGCTTTGGGAGTTCACACCCTGCAATAAAAAAAGGTAGAAGTGTAGGCATTATTCAGTCATTATATTTGGTATGTCCAGCTGCTGTTTCGAACTGGCAAATGCTTCCTTCCCTTCCCTTTCCTTCATGCACACATCCTCTCCTCATGCGGAAATCTCTGACTGTTCAAAGGAGTCATCAAAATCATCATTATCAGCATGTGGGAAACCCAGGAGCAAGCACTGATGCTCCTATCGATCTCCTTGGTTTGCATCCTCAGATGCTAAAAGAATAAATCACAAAACAGATAGGAATCAACCTCACGATTCTGAATGGGCCTATTAACTTTCTTTTTCTTGCCTTCCAGCCTGTCTTTCCAATCATTGCATTTGAGATGTTGTTGGACAACTGTTCCCATCAACCTTGATCATTGGTCATGCTGATGGGGGTTATAGTCCAAGAAGTTCTGGGGACTCAAAATGAAGAATGGCTACTCTAGGCTTTGGGACATACCTCTCTTTCTTCTAAAAAACTGGGTTACAGAGCGTAGTTGGATGGTACATAAAGAAGTCCCCTTGCTCAAGCTAAGTAGGTATGGATCTGGTCAATGATTAGAGGGACAATGCCCTTGGAATCCCATGTAGCCATTTTGAGGTCCACAATAGAAGAAAGATGAGATAACAGTATAAAATTATGAGTAAGGTACAATAAAACATGCAGAATCTATACAAAAGCTTTGAAACCAGCTTCAGATTAGCATAACCAATGCATTTATTTATTTCAATTTTTATTCTTTCTGTAATAAAAATAATTTATTCTTAGGAAGTCAGATCAGTTGGCATTAAAAACATGGAAGCTAGTTCTAAAATATTATTTATCCTCTTAAGGAAAGGACAAGATACATCTTTACATTCATTACTGGATTCTATAAATCCAAAATCCACTTTTAAATATATGTCAGGATCTAAGATTTTCACACGCAAGGCTGTTAATCTTTGTATCTACTTTTGTATCATTCCAGCTTTGTGATCTGAACTCTACACCAAGAGCTTCTACTTTCCTGCCTTTCCATTATATAAATTCTAGCTGAAGCTGTGCTGTAATTGAAAGGCTCAAATACACAAGGAGAAACAGTGTCCTTTTTCCCATTCTAATATAATACTCTATTTGGCCCATTCTATGGAGGTGGGAAGGTGCTCTGAAAAAAACAGGAACAAAACTGGAGGATCCTGCTATCAGCTGAAGGACCCGTAAACAAACAAGAGTAAGGAATCATAAGTGTACAATAAGTGCCTTTTCTAGAGAAGTCCATAGTAAGAAGGTGGCCAGCCTCTGTTGCCCCAAAACACATTCCATCTGAGAATAAAGAAACATGGATGCACGCAGGAGCAGCAAAATATCTCCAAAACTACCCCAAACAAAAAAACCAGGTGCGCTTCTCTGGAACTCAGAGTCCTCTGAGAAATTCTGCCACAACTGAGCAAAGGGGTGTTGTGCAAGCAGTCAGTATTTCACTCATCATATTGCACTTCACGCCATCCCCAACTTGGTATGTGGTGTCTTACAACCCCCATAATGTCCAGCCACAGCAGCTGGGATGATAGAAACTGTGATAGAACATATTTGAAGAGCAGATGTGGTTTGGGGGAAGGATGCAAGAGTCAGGGCTTTAGCTAATCAGGGAAGTCCAGTGTATGATAATGTGCCCGTTGTCCGTGATTATTTAAATTATTAACTCAAGGAAGAATATTTAATTTTTACTTCTCAGAGCTAGTCTGGGCAGGAACTGTAACGTTTTCTGAAAGCATTTCAAGATAATTAGCAGTGTTTTATCATCTATTAACTTGGCAAAATAGAAGGAGTGGGGAGAGCAAGCTAGTGTTGTCTAGGTGACAGACAAATGTACATAGATCCAACAGTTTTTCTGTGTGTCTGTCTCCCAAAATAGAGCTTTGCCTTCTCAAAATGGAAATGAGTAATGTCAAATTGGCTAGTCCTTAGGAATCACAACCAATGTAGGCCAGGTTGATTTTCACAAAAGCTGCTTTAAAATAGCATCCAGCCTGTCTTGCACTGTTTGTGAGGCAGGGAAAAATGAATTTGATTGTGCACTTTGGAGGCACAGGATGCTTCCAGGTAAGTCCTTTATGGTGCTATCATGCTGCCTCATTCACAGAGGTTTACAGATGTTCCAGATGTTCTCTTCTGCTCATGTGACCCCCCTGTGTTTTCTTACCACGTCTGTTATTTTTTCCACTAATTGGGAAAACCTGAGAAAAGAACAAGCACACAATACCTGGTAGATCCTTCTATCAGGAATTGCCTATTGTATTTGCAATCAGGAATGAAAGATACAAAAACTGGTTTTGGTGTCAGTATCGAGGAAGGAAGCCATGATTGGCTTTTTCATGAAGCCCTTGCCATGGAATGGAACCTTACATGGCACATGTGCTTCCAAGTGAGACTCAGGGCTGGTCCTATCATTAGGCGGATGGAGGCAGCAGATGATGGGTGTGCTGAGCAGCAACAAGGGACTGGAGGAAAGAGCTGTGTGCATCCCACAGGGCTCGTCCCCTTCAGCCCCTGAAGTTGGGCTGCTGTCCTATGGTGCAGTGGAGGACAATATCCCATCACCAGTGTTTAACAAAGGTTCACCAATCCTCTTGGAAGGAGCAGGATCATTGTCTTAACTGTCCCCCATAATGACCAGCAAAATGTCTTGGGACAGCTCTGATCTTACACACCACCTCCTGGACATCTGACAAAAAGGATTCTTACTGGAACCATGCCAAGCTATGCCTGTAACCCACGGCCTAGGTTTTCAGTGCGCGCTACACTTTCTTTTGGAGTGGAGGGGGAGTAGAGACCTTGTCATATGAAACTAAGGGTGCAGTCCTATGCATGTTTAGATGGGAGGAAAGGCCCTAAACATTCCAGCATTTTCCAGCCAGCTGTGATCTTTTCCCATGCAAATATGCATGGGATTGCCCCTTTAATCACAATAAGAGGAAAAAGCAATTCCTTTTTTTTAAATTTTATTATTTTCTCTACAAATCTGAGTTGATATCTTACTCTTTTTTACAATCGATAACCATAATCAGTTCTATGCATAGTCCTGTTTCTCTAACCAATAATAAAAGGAGTTCCAAGTTTGATAGAAGTATGTATCTTCCTTCTCCTTCAAAGACAAAGTCAATCTGTCCATTTCTGTACAATCCAAAATCTTTCAAAATCAGCTCTTCAGTAGGTGGCTCTTCATTCCTCTAGTGTTGGGCAAATGCAATCCTCGCTGTGGTAATTACATGTAAAATCAGATATATAGCTTGTTTATCAAAGTCATCAGGAATAATGCCTAATAGAAAATCTTCAGGTTTAAATATTAAAGGTTTTTGTAGCATTTCCTCAAGCCACTTGTGTGTTTTAACTCAGTATTTTTTTGCCTTAACACAAGTCCACCACATATGATAAAAAGTACCAGGTTTG